CGAATGTGGAATCACCTCTGATGGTTTTTCGGGCGGCCAGTTTCTAGATTCTGGGGCCTACTTGGAAGGACCGCAGAGCAGGAGGAACGAAAAGTATGCCGTGGCATGGAAATGAAAATAATGACGCCAGCGCTGCAGCGGGAGTACGATTCGGAACGAGCGGAAGCGCGGAAATGAAGCCAGCGCTGCAGCGGGAGCACGATTCGGAATGACCGGAAGCGCAGACATGAAGCCAGCGCTGCAGCGCGAGCACGATTCGGAGCGAGCGGAAGCCCGAAAATGAGGTCAGCGCCTCACAAAAAAAAAAAAAACAAAAAAAAAAAACAAAAAAAAAAAAAAAAAAAAAAAAAAAACTCGCCGACCGTCCTGTGGAAAAAAAAAAAAAAAAAAAAAAAAAAACAATATGCGAGGGGGGGGCCGAACACTCCGAGGCAGATTCCGCCACAGATTCAGAAGAGAGAGGAGAGTAGTATTCATATTGAGTGATTGTGGAAAAGGAGGAGGAGGAGGAGGGGGAGGAGGAGGAGGAAGGAGGAGGCAGGAGAGGCGCAGAGGTGTGGTCCAGCCACCCATACGCCACGAAAATAGATAAAGACACCCCCGACGAATGTTGTACGCACTTTCTTGGCGGGCGGCGGTGTATCAAGTCGCTAACTCTCAGTGAAAGTTGATACACCGCCGCCCTCCCCTCAGGCCCAGGAACAATCCAGTGGATGGCGTCTACGTGTGTATATATATATATGTATGTATGTATGTATGTATGTATGTATGTATGTATGTATGTATGTATATATATATATACTCTGGCAAGGGGAACCCAGGCCCCCTTTTTTCGTCGCGGCAGGCAGAAGCAGCCCGCACATGGGCGCTCCAGCTACCAGGGGGGCTCGGCGAACGGATCGCCCGGCTGCAAGAGCTGGCCGCCACGGCCCCCACGCGTCGCAGGAAAGAAGTGGCCTGACGAAGGACCCAACCACATGTAGCTGCGAGTGCCGCAGTGTGGGTACCGCTTTCGGTGGAGCTCCCTATGGGGAACCGAAGCGTGCGACGGGTACGCCGAAATCGGCGGCGCGGACGCATGCGGACCCTGCCACTGGAGCCTTCGGTGGAGCTCCCTCAGGGGCCACGAAACGCTGTCTTGGGTGGCGGCGACGCATGCGGACACTGCCATTGGAGCCTTCGGTGGAGCCCCCTTAAGGGCCCACGAAACGCTGTCCTGGGTGGCGGTGACGCATGAGGACGCAGCCATTGGGGCCTTCGGTGGAGCTCCCTATGGGGCACGGCGACGCACTCGCGGACTCAGCCAGCGCAGGGCCCGCGCGCGAAGCAAGGGCGGGCGCGACAGGCTGAGCCGAGCCCCCGGCGCGCCGCCACCAATGCCCCCGCGCGCGCCGCCCAGGCCCAGAGGGCAGTCACGGGTGCATTTTTGCCACGCCCGACGGACCGCGCCCGCCAGCGCACATAGGTCGGCCCGATTCGAGGAACTTCTTTGATTTCCCCCCGCGCCCCGGGACCCCAGAAGCACCTGGCCCCGCTCGCGCTGGTGCACAGCGCACTTTGGTTCCTTGGCCCACAGCGGCCCGGGGCACGTTGGCCGGAGACGGGCTTGAAGTGGCCGTGGCCACGCGCCAAATGCGCGCTGCCGCCAGCGAGGACGCACCAGCCGACGTTGGCGCAGTCCCCGGCGCTCGTTAACTGCCACGAGGGACCACCTACCCGCGCATTGGCGGCAGCGGCTCTGCTCTCGCGCCACGCGAGATTCAGGGGAGCCCGCGCGCGCGACCAAGGCGGCGCAAGCACCTCGACCGACGCGGCCCTGGACATGCCTTGGAAGCCCCTGCGCCGCTGCCGAAGGCCGGCACCGCCCTGCTGTCGTCGCGGCAGGCGTCGCCCGAACCCGATTCTCCGAGGCTTGCTGTTTGCCGCTATCATTTGTGTTTCCTTTCCTGTTTTTATCCCTCGCCAAGACCTCCGCGCTGCCAGCGGCCCGGTGCTCCGCGCGCATCGGGAAGCCCCGGCGCGCCAGCCGGGCGCTGTCCTGCAGAGCCCGCGCCCCCTCGATGAGGACGCGGCAGAAGCCCGCAACGACATCGGTGGAATACACGTCGCGCGGCGCCGCGTAGCCGTTGAACCAGTCGCAATCCAGTTGGGGCCCGATGACCTTGGCGCGCAGGCAGACGATGCACTCGGCGGCGGCTCGCGGCCACTGGGGGAGCCCGCCATGGCGCGTCACGATGGTCGCGCGCGCGTGCCCAGAGTAGGCCTGCTGAACACCACGCAGAGTACTTGTGCCAATCCTTCGTGGTAGTGCGTGGCCTGCGCGACGATACCCTTGCGCGGGAGCTGCAACCAGCCCAGCGCGACGCCGCCGTCGAGCGCGCCCCAGGTGACCCAGCCCAGCAGGCGGCGCCGTCGGCGGCGCCGAGGCGGGCGGCTGCCTTTGCGTGCTCAGCGCGCGCGGCCCATCTCTAGGGGGCGCGGGCGGCTGCCGCGGCGATCGGGATCCGCGGCGGATCCGGCCAGGGCGTTCTCGAGTGCAGCCCGGTCGTCTTCGCGCAGGATTAGGCTGCGGCCGCGGAGCTGCTCGGGGCAGGACAGCAGCAGCATGAGAACCGTCAGTAATTTCGATTGGATGTTCCGCTGCCGCTTTCCAATCTTGCGCAACTCCTCCCGCGGGTTTGCAAGCACCTCTGCTGACAAGCTCCAGCCTCCATCGGCGGTGAACAGCACAGCCCCATGTGCGCCGTCCCTGGCGCCAATTTCCCATGAGCCGTCTGCCCATGCGACGCCTGCCTCAACTTGCAGCCGTGGTCCTGGTAGAAGTGCAGCGGCATAGTCAGCATCGCGCGCCACCAGCGTAGCCCGTATCCGAGTTATTCGGTCCAACCGCCTCTGTGGGAGCTGACTACCCAGGTGCACGCACGGTCCACGCGGCCGAAGAGCGGTGATGCCGAAGCCAAGTTGCCCACCGAGGCGGGACGCGTCTCTGGCGGTCAATCGCGAGAGGCGCAGTGCCTCTACCACTGCTTGCAGGAGCTGGGACCGCCGCCTCTCGGTGAGCCGCAGCCCGGACCACCGTGCTACTGCGGCTGCTTCCGGGCCCAGGATCTCGAGTCGCTGCGCGGGGGCCTGCCCCTTGTCGTCCCTGAGCGGGATGCCCTAGGTTGCGCAGCCAACCGAAAAACCACTGCTGCAGCGCGGCGAAGCGGCGTGGCGAGGAGCGGAAGAAGTCGTCGACGTCTGCGAATTGAGGGACCGCGAACAGGCGCTGCAGCGCGTGGCACACGCTCCCGCCTGCGCGCCGCGCACCCCCAGACGGCGCCGAAGGCGCCAAAGGGCAGGGCTCTGTGGGCGAACGCGAGGAAGCCGCCTTCGGTGCCCATCGCTCCAGACCAGCGTGACCACGTACCTGCGCTGATCTGGCCGAAAGGGCCACTGGCGGTACGCCTTCTTGCGGTCCTCCTTCGCGAGAAGCGGTTCGCCGTCGCTGCCCGAATCCTGAGACAGCTCTGCCACGTGCTGGATGGCCATGAGCGCTGAGAGCCCTGTGGCTCGCATGGCCTCGATGGCCGCGGCTGCGGGGTTCAGGCCGCTCGCGGTGCAGTTGTCGATGGCCCGCACGTCGTAACTGGTTGCCCTGTGGTGTTGCACGCTGGGGAATCGTTGTGCGCTTAGCCCAAAATGGCCGCACCGAGGGTCAAGTCCCCCCCCCCGCGCTCGACTCTGTCGGCCCCGCAAGCCCGTGCCCGACACAACCCAAAGCCGAGACACGCGAAAAAGATATGGAAGATGCAGTCCCCGCGGAAGGGGAGCTCCTGGATGAGTCAGAAGCCAAGACGCTGTGCATGCCCAAGCTTGCCGCACTTAGAGCAGGTGGCCGGTTCAGTTGCCATGCAGTTGCACACCTGGCACGTCATGGTAAAGTCATGCATATTGCTATGTTGGGATCAGGTACATACGAGTTGGGTTCATAACCCTCGTGTTTCGACCTTGAACACTACCCTGGCCAATCCCCAGAGCGCCAGCGGCATATCAGCTGTACTTGAACGGATTGGACCATAGGGCAAGTTCGTATATTTTGCCATTAGTTTTGTATTGGATCTTGGTGTGGGATTCGGGATCCGAATAAAACAGGATAGTTTTTCAGGACTCTGCTGCTGACAGTCCTCGTACACACAGCCCCTACGCGTGGGGAACTTGAACCAAAGGTGCGACGCGCGATGCACTCTGCTCCGCGTCTATTGCTGCGCACTGTTTCTACTGCTTTTCGGACCCCAGACCGCACCTGCAGGGGGAGGCGGGGGGAGAGGGAGGAGAGAGGGGAGAAGGGAATGCAGAGGAGTGTGGTGCAAGCTACCGTATCAATGCAACTGCTGGTGCTACATTGCTCGACCCGAGCCGACTACACAGTCTCGACTCCACAGCGGGACAAGGAGGCGGACAAATCTCGCTCCCTTCGCACTTGGGAAACACAGTAGAGGCCAGTCCACAAGAGACCTTGCACAAAAAACCCAACCCTGAGACCCCAGGACGTCCGTTGATTTTGAGTGTGGGAGCGTGACGCTCTCCACAGCAAAACCATCGAGGCCCAAGAAGCCAAGGGCACCCTGGAGGCAGGCAGGGGTGCCTCTCGGCGTGGGCCTCCGCTGCAACACTCTTTGATCCGCGGGTCGAGAGCGCACCTCTTCCCGTCGAAGCCGAGCGGGCCGCGCGAAGCTTGAATTGGGCAGAGATGGGTGGGGGAGGGGGAGGGGGAGGGGGAGGAGGAGGAGGAGGAAGAGGAAGAGGAGGAGGAGGAGAGGAGGAGGAGAGGAGGAGGAGGAAGAGGAGGAGGACGAGGAGGAGGAGGAGAGGCAGAGAGGAGAGGAGGAGGAGGAGGAGGAGGAGGAGGAGGAGGAGGCAACGCGCTCGAGACAGAAGCCGGCCTCGTGGAAGCGCCGGGGGCTGGCTGACGGGCACGGCCCGTGCAGGCCGCCGCGCGGACTGCTGGGGGTACACCGCAAGCGGCGCGCTCGCGCGCGTGCTTCGCGCTCGGGCGCGCGCACGGCTGGTGCAGCCTCCAGCGTGCTCGCTCCCCAGACCCCCGACGTCATGATTTTTTCATGACGTCGACCCCCAGAGGTCTGGACCCATTCCCCAGGACCGGTTTGTCATCCTGAGTCGTTCTTTGACGGTCCCGAGGCCCGGTAAGGGCCCCCAGAGGCCGAAAATAACGAAAAACCTCCCGTCGTGATTTTTTCATGACTCGAGGGGGTCTGGGTCTGCAGACGCAAGACATCGTGTTGCGAAGAACGACGGCCCACCCGCACCGTCGAGAAGACCCCGTCTAGGCTGAGGTCGGGCATGTCCTCCTGCAGGCGGATGGAAGAAACAGCAGCATTGGGAACACAATGCTCAAACGAGTGCAAAAAATGAAAAATCGTCCCCAGACTATGTTTTTCTATTCTTGAATATTCCTCCTGTAGAGGGACATGCCCGCCTCAAGTCTAGGCACGATCCATCACAGAAAGACAGCCCACCTTCGATGAAGAAGGGGGGCTGTCCCAACACGCCTGCAATGCCGAGCCCCATGAAACTTCGGACTCGAAAAACAAGGCCCTGGATCCAGGAAAAGGAGGAGAGTGAGGAGAAGGAGGAGGAGGGGAGGGAAGGAGTAGGAAGAGGACGGCACGATGCGGCACGGAAGCAATCGGGGCCATGTGTCTCTTGTCTGACTCAGCTGCACCCGAGAATCGAAGCCTAAGCATGGAGGTCAGAGGAGGACGAGATGGATGACGAGAGGAAGATGAGGAGGAGGAGGAGGAGGAGGAGGAGGAGCGGGAAGAGGAGGAGGAATACAGAGGAAGAAGGAGGAGGAGGAGGAGGAGGAGGGAGGAGGACGGACGAATCGATGTCAAAGCGGATCGGTCCGATCGAGGTGGGCCCCTGTCCTGGAGGGCCCTGCGCGGAGAGCGCCCGTGCCGGCTGCGAGGCGGATCCGCCATCGGCCGCGCGCGCGGCAGGTGGCACACCCGCCGAGGGCCAGTCGCGCTGGCGGGGGGCTCGAAGTATACACTAAGTCGTCGTCCTCCTCCTCCCTCCCTCCCCCTTCTCTTCTTCCTCCTCCTCCTCCTCCTCCTCCTCTTATTATTTTTATTATTATGTGTATGCTTATTCGTCTTACTATTCTAAGTATTAATATTCTTAACATTATTATTATGTTTCTTCTTATTATTATCATTATTCTTATTTTTATTATTATTCGTATTCGTCTTAGTCTTATTCTTATTACTATTACTATTATGCTTCTCCTGCTTATCATTATTATTAGTATGATGAGTAGTATTAGTAGTATTAGCCTTGTTATTAATATTATTATTGTTAGTATTATTATTGTTAGTCTCATTATGCGTATTACTCTTCTTAGTATACTTATTATTTGTCTTATTCGTATTTTCTTACTATTCCTATTATTCTGAGTATTTGGATTCGTCGTATTATTATTGTAAATCTTATTATTGGTCGTCTCATGATTCTTACTAATATCCGTATTATTCTTAGTATTATTCTTATTCGTTTTTATCTAACAGCGAAGACTGATAGGTTTCTAGTGGTCTCAAAAGAGAGCATCATGACTCCTCAGGGGGGCGTACCGCCGATACTTCGGCGATGCGGCGCGACCCTCCGACCCCGTCTACTCGGACCCGATGTGTCGGGTGTTGCCAGAGGTGTCCGTGGCCCAAAGTGTCCTCAGGATTTCTAGGGAGTCCCCACGGCTTCCAGATCACCCCTCGCAAGGCCCAGAGGGCCCCCCAGGGCTGAACAGTGAAGCGAAAAGCTGGGGGCACCTTAGGGCTGGGACTCCTTTGGCAACCCCCGAAGAAGGAGAGTCTCTATACCCAGAACCCCGGCGTCATGTTTTTTCATAGCGTAGACCCCCAGAGGTCTGGTCCCTCTTCCCGGGGATCGGTTTTCCATCCTGGGCAGTGTTTGATGGCCCCGAGGCCCAGCAAGGGTCCCCCTGGAAGCCAAAAGCAGCGACAAACCGTCCGTAGTGATTAGTTTCGCGACGCGAGAGGGTCTGGGTATACACCGAGCTCCACGACAAACTGACTATACGAGTTGGAGGCTACGACGAGGCGGCAACAAGGGGCGCCTAAGGACGCCCTGAGGAGGCTCGGAGGAGGCGGCCAGGAAGAGGAGGAGGAGGATGAGGAGGAGGAGGAGAAGGAGGAGGAGGAGGAGCTATGATGATGCTGATGATGATGATGCTGATGATGCTGCTGATGATGATGATTACTCTGCTCATGATGATGATTATGCTGATGATGATAGTCATGATGATGACGATGACGATGATGACGATGACGACGATGATGATAATGATGATGATGAGGATGATGATGACGATGATGATGATGATGACGCTGACGCTGATGATGATGATGATGATGATGATGATGGTGATGATGGTGATGGTGATGGTGAAGGTGATGGTAATGGTGATGGTGGTGATGATGATGATGTGAGGATGATGTTGATCATGATGATGATGATGATGATGATGATGATCATTATGATAGTGACGATGATGCTGCTGCTGATGATGATGATGACGATGACGATGATTATGATGCTGCTGATGATGCTGATGATGCTGATGATGCTACTGATGCTGATTATGCTGATGATGATGCGTATGATCATGATTACGTAGACTGATGATGATGATGCTGATTATGCTTATGGCTGATGATTATGATGATGATGATGATGATGATGATGATGATGATGATGATGATGATGATGATGATGATGATGGTGCTGATGATGATGTTGATGATGCTGCTGCTGATGATGTTGATGAGGATGCTGCTGCTGATGATGCAGCTGATGCTGCTGATGCTGCTGATGATGATGATTATGCTGCTGCCCATGAGGATGATGATGATGCTGATGATAAGGATGATGATGATGATGATGATGCTGATCATGATGATGATGATGATGCTGATCATGATGATGATGATGATGATGATGATGATGATGATGATGATACTGATGATGATGATGATGATGATGATACTGATGATGATGATGAGGATGACGATGATGATGACGATGCTGATGATGATGACGCTGGTGATGATGATGGTGATGATGGTGATGGTGATGGTGATGGTGATGATGATGATGCTGCTGATGATGGTGGGATGGATGGTGTGATGATGATGATGATGATGATGATGATGATGATGATGATGATGATGATGATGATGATGATGATGATGATGATGATGATGATGATGATGATGATGATGATGATGATGATGATGATGATGATGATGATGATGATGATGATGATGATGATGATGATGATGTTGATGATGATGATGATGATGATGACGGTGGTGTGGCTTGGTGGTGAGCGTGGCGGTGGTGGTGGTGATGTTGATGATGATGCTGATGGTGATGATGATGATGATGGTGGTGGTGGTGGTGGCGGTGGTGATGATGATGATGATGCTTCTGATGATGATGATGGTGGTGGTGGTGATGGTGATGATGATGATGATGAGGATGATGCTGATGATGATGATGCTGATGCTGATGCTGATGCTGATGATGATGATGATGATGATGATGATGATGATGATGATGATGATGATGATGATGATGATGATGGTGATGCGGAGAGGAGGAGGAAGAAGAAGAAATAATATAAAATTATCCCGGCAAAGCAACCTAACAGCGATATGTAGGAGCACATCTGGAAGCATCCCCCTTAAGATTCAGATGATAATCCAGTTGTAGAGTTCTGCTGTTCTCGCAGTCGTAGTCGCATTCGCGATGACAGTCGCAGTGGCCTGCATTAGCCTCAGCCTCAGCCTCAGCCTGCCTCAGCATCAGCCTCAGCCTCAGCTTCAGCCTGCCTCAGCCTCAGCCTCAGCCTGCTCCTGCATCAGCCTCAGTCTGCCTGCAGCCTCGGCCTCAGCCTCAGCCTGCCTCAGCCTGAGCCTGCCTCAGCCTCAGCCTCAGCCTCAGCCTGCCTCAGCCTCAGCCTCAGCCTCAGCCTCAGCCTCAGCCTCAGCCTCAGCCTCAGCCCTCAGCCTCAGCCTCAGCCTCAGCCTCGCCTCAGCCTCAGCATCAGCCTCAGCCTCAGCCTCAGCTGCCTCAGCCTCAGCCTTCCTAGCCTCAGCCTCAGCCTGCCTCAGCCTCAGCCTGCCTCAGCCTCGGCCAGCCTCGCTGCTCAGCCTCAGCCTGCAGCCTCAGCCTCAGCCTGCCTCAGCATCAGCCTGCCTCAGCCTCAGCCTCAGCCTGCCTCAGCCTCAGCCTCAGCCTGCTTCAGCCTCAGCCTCAGTCTGCCTTCAGCCTCGGCCTCAGCCTCAGCCTGCCTCAGCCTCAGCCTGCATCAGCCTCAGCCTCAGCCTCAGCCTGCCTCAGCATCAGCCTGCCTCAGCCTCAGCCTCAGCCTGCCTCAGCCTCAGCCTCAGCCTGCTTCAGCCTCAGCCTCAATCTGCCTTCAGCCTCGGCTTCAGTCTCAGCCTGCCTCTGCCTCAGCCTGCATCAGCCTCAGCCTCAGCCTGCCTCAGCCTCAGCCTGCCTCAGCCTCAGCCTCAGCCTCAGCCTGCCTCAGCCTCAGCCTCAGCCTGCTTCAGCCTCAGCCTCAGTCTGCCTTCAGCCTCGGCCTCAGCCTCAGCCTGCCTCAGCCTCAGCCTGCATCAGCCTCAGCCTCAGCCTCAGCCTGCCTCAGCATCAGCCTGCCTCAGCCTCAGCCTCAGCCTGCCTCAGCCTCAGCCTCAGCCTGCTTCAGCCTCAGCCTCAGTCTGCCTTCAGCCTCGGCCTCAGCCTCAGCCTGCCTCAGCCTCAGCCTGCATCAGCCTCAGCCTCAGCCTCAGCCTGCCTCAGCATCAGCCTGCTTCAGCCTCAGCCTCAGCCTGCCTCAGCCTCAGCCTCAGTCTGCTTCAGCCTCAGCCTCAGTCTGCCTTCAGCCTCGGCCTCAGCCTCAGCCTGCCTCAGCCTGCCTCAGCCTCAGCATCAGCCTGCCTCAGCATTCAAAATGTGGCCAGGGAATGGAATTCTGGGAACTCGAAGAACACGAAGTGGCCTACAGTTTGCTCCGGGCATTCAAAATCATGCCCAGGAATGGAGTTCTGGGAAGTCCAAGACACGAAGTGGCCTACAGTTGGCTCCGGGCATCCAAAATGTGGCCCGGGAAGGGAGTTCTGGGAACTCGAAGACCTAGAACTCCATTCCCGGCGTACATTTTGGATGCCCGGAGCCAACTGTAGGCCACTTCGTGGTCTTCGAGTTCCCAGAACTCCATTCCCGGCGTACATTTTGGATGCCCGGAGCAAACTGTAGGCCACTTCGTGGTCTTCGAGTTCCACAAATCCATCAGTGCGGCCCGTAGCAAGGGAAACCTCAGGAATCGAGCCCAACTATTCCCTACCCCCAAAGGGCTGACCTTTAGGTCGGGCATGTCCTCCTACAGGCAGATTTTGGAGGAAAAATTCCAAGTGGTTCAAAAATACCCCCCCCCCAAAAAAAAAAAAAAACAGTGTATTGTTGAATACTGCTCCTGTAGAGAGACACGCCTGACTTAAAGGCTGACCCCCATTAGCAGGCGAAGGATGTTTCTCCCCTCCACTCCAAGATATCGTCATCCTCGTCCTCCTCGTCACCTCTGACGCAACATATTTTTACCATCCACCATCAGCATCATCTCTTCTTTCGTCCTCCTCGGTTATCCGCCCCCCCCCCCCAACGCGCCCACGCCTGACCTTCACAATCGTCCTTTTCGCATTCTCCCTAGTTGTTCTTGTCCTCTGCCGCTTCACGCCCGACTGGCCCCCTCCCTCCTCTTTCCCTCCCTGCCATCTCTTACTCGACCTTTAACTGCCGCTCGCGTCTTGACCTTCTTGAGCAATGTTTGAGCGTCGTCGTGCCCCCTGGTCGCCCCCTGTCTCCATGGGCCCATGGGGCGCTTGCGTCCTCCGCCTCCTCCTCCTTCCTTCTCGCTTTCCTCCTTGTTGTCAGCCGCCGGTTCTTCTTGAAAAAGAGGAAGAGAGAGAAAGAGAGAGAGAGG